ACCTCTGCTGCGACTAGAGCGCAGCAGAACAGACCTGATGCATACAAGCATAGAGTGCAAGCGAGAGCCACGCACTAGCGTGCTGCATACATGTATACGTACGTGTTAAGGAGTTGAAAGCAGATAGTTGGTGTTTTTCTTCATTACTTCTGTGTAGAGTGAGATATATGATCGATCCTTTTCGGTCTGATGTATCCATGTATCTGTTTTGATCACATTGCTAGCCAAAAAAAAAAAAATTAGTATGGGTTTTTGATGTGTATGCATAAACAGTTAATCATGTTGGATTGATCATGAGCAGTTAAATGTGAAAAATCCTAACTGGTTGTGTGTTGTCAATGGTTATGAAAGTGCAAAGGTAAGAAAGACCTACTGTGCTGCACTTTTAAAGAAACAAACAGTGCAATTCAGAGGGCTGTCTTATGCCTTGATCAGAGAGCGCCCCCCCAACGCGCAGCAACAAGATAAATGAAGAGGCAACCCAAGCCAGTGAAAGCAACTCTAGAACAGGCCACTCATCAGGCAGTTGCTGCAGCACTAGGAAAGGATTCCCACACCTAGTTTCTATTACATTTCACCTGCTCCAAACAGACATGGGTCGCTAACAAACCGCAATAGCTAACTCGTCCAACGAAGGTATGAGCAACACTAGTTTGTCATGTTCATGTGTCCTAATTCTAGAGCTTATCGATCCTACAAATCTAACAATGGTATCGAAGCCAGTCTAAGCTCAAGTTAGAACCAACTAGTCATGTTGTTCATACCTAGTTCATGTTGTTCTTCTGAATCAAGCACATTAGTTCCTACCTAGTTTCAGTGGTGTTTCCCAGCATCTAGAAAAAGAGGGGGATTGAATGAAAGAACACCAAACACTTCAAAATCAGAAACCCTAGATCCACAAATCCCCACATTTCCCCAAGAAACTCGCCAAATCAAGGAACCCTAACCCTAAATAGAAGGGCATCGGACACCCCTAAAGCTCGTAATCGCTTGTGCGGCGCCATGGTTTGACGTTCGCCGCACCGCAGCGTGGCCTTTCACGAGCACTCGGTCGCCGTCGAGGCTAGCCACCTCACGGCACCATAGCTGTTGCCAAGGGTCGCCATCATGTGAAGGATACGTGTGTGGGGCTGCCGCATAGGGTGTGCACGCCGACACCGCATCACCATAGCACCGTCGAGAAACCACTCCACAGAGCCGCGTGTGAGCCACCGCAGAACGCGACTCCAGCAAAGGGGATCTCGGTGGCGCCGGACTTCTCCGTCGGCTCGCAGATGGGCAAGAGCTCGGGCATGACAGCGGGCGCCTCCTACCACCGCGAGCCCCGACGGAGGGCACTGGCTTACGTGCGTGTGGGGGGTAAGCGCCCCCTTCCCACCGCCACGAGCTCAGACGGCTGGGCCGCTGGCTTGCGCGTGTGAGGGCACGAGCGAGTGAGCGCCCTATTGTCGCCACAGACACCCGGTCGACTGTCCTTCTGCTGATGTGCACGCGGACGCAAGCGTGATGGAGTCACCACCGCCGCCGCTCTGAATGGGAGAAGGGGAGGAGAAAAGTTACGGTTGAAGAGAAGGTAGCCGGCTCTAGTTTGTTTACCACTTAGGGTGACCTCCACCATCCAATCAGATTAGATGGACGCAAATAGCCGTGCCGCCGATTGGGCCAAATGGTCCGACGAGAGGGGAAAAGGGGCGCAGACGGCTTTGTCGGCCCGTGACCCAAGCAGGTGCACAGAAGGGAGTAGGAAGGCTAGGCGAAATGCAGCCCGGCAAGGAGGTGTAGACCATATCTAATTTTAATGTTTTTATATATGCAACTTGTTGGCTGTACAGTTACGGGCCAAAATTCAGTATTGGAAAAAATTGAATCAGGAAAAGAAAATTTAATTTTCCTTTTACATTTAACACTATAGGTTGTATAGTGTTGGGCCAAATCACCTTAAGAGCCGAACTAAATTGGGCTTTATTACTTTTAGTGCAATTTATGTCTTCCAATTGCACTATTTTAATTATAGTTTAAGCCCAAAATTAATGCACGTTTCTGATATGTAATTAAAATAAAAATTATCTGATTGAGTTGGAACCAATGAAAGAACTTGATTAGTGAATTTCACTTGTCTCTCATTAAATTGGAACCAACGGGAAAAATTGATTAGAGACATGGAAGTTATTAAGTGTGGCTTATATTTATTATTCTTACCAACGTTGATTAATAAATATTTGTCACAAGATTTTATTCTACTCTATTTTGAACCAAATGGTGATGATAGATTAGAATAATAAAAGAAGTTTTTTGCATGAATAATGGTTATTTTCTTGCATTAATATTGTCCATTGATGATCTTTATTAATTCTAAATGTAGCTTTTAATGTCTCAAACATTGCCGGAATGATAAACGGCATGGAGGAGCTTAATAGGAGCAAATTATCCTTTATGGAAGGGAAAGTTGCATCTCCTCTAATTTGCTCTAGCTTGATAACTGGTGAGACGGATTTTTGGACAAAGCCCAGGGACTGCCGCATGACGCCTAAACCACACCTTGGAAAGGTCCTTCCTTCGAGGAAGAGCAGTATAGTAGCATGGCGGTCTGTAAGTAGCTCTCTTTTTTTCCGGAGAGCTAAGGTTTCAATTAAATACATGTCAAACATACACGAATGTGCGATGAGAAGTGAAGAGCTACAAATGGAGATGAACATGTATGTATAGTCTAGTAATAACTTGTGCATGCATAATGTATAAACTTGCGCGTAAAGGCATGTAACAGCTTATTCAAAGATGTTGTAGCAATTTGTGAGAATATACAATAACAACTTGTGGAGCCTGTGTAGAGAAAGTATGGTAACTTGTGTAACTTGTATTGTATCTGTAACACCAACCGAGCCAATCTAGCAACCGAGCCAATCTAGCAACTTATATGCTAGTTTCAAAAAAAAAGCAACTTATATGCTTAAAGGTTAGCACCTCTTGCAAATGCAATATAGCAACTTGTGTTGTGTATACCTAACAGAAATTTGTGTAGAGAGATGATGTCCCAATTTATGGTTTACATCCGGTATGTAGTAGCTTATCTTGTATAAATATTAAAATAATATATAAAGCACATATACAATATAGATCAAATTTACTGTACCGACCTGCTCTCAAGGTAAGCTAATAACTGTCAATAGTCGATGAACACGCAGCATACTTATATTACTAAGAATTTGGTGCACAGGTCCAACCAAGATTCTTGCGATGGACATGATCACATTAAGCATTATAAAGCAATCACTTATATAAGCAAGGTACGCACCGTCGCACCCTATAAGAATGTAAGGAATCATTTCCACCAAAATATCCATTTGAGCTAAGCTATAAAAATCCAAACATGTAGAGCTGCTTCAGAGTGAAATCTTAACCCTACATTAATGTAGTTGTTTTATGGTGGAGTTTATTTAATCAGTCTCTTGCATGCCAGTAATTGTACGGAGTGTGCATGCTAAATCCATAGTGAACCAGATGGTCATCTTCCCACTTCGACAGCTCGGACGCTCATTCGGACTGCTCGGACGTTTGCTTCAACAGCTCAGCTCCTATTTGAACTAGTCGGAAGATTGATCCTGATGAGTTTGCTGCAAGTTGGATAGGTCGGATGGATGCAAGATGGTGTTGCTCAGCAGATGCAAGGTGTTCGGGGACTAGCTGTGGGGGTATGACCTCCAGTACCCACAAGACTCCGCATGGGCCGAGCAGCTAGGGGAAGCCCAGCCTACAAGACTATGCATGGGTCGCGCCACCGGTCGGGGCCCATCTCGCAAGACAATGCCGTACGAAGTATGCCGCAGGACGGCGTGCTTCACAAGGCAGCGCAAAGATTATCGGTGAATCTGCTCGGATATGATAGGTATTATACGATCTGTATCTTCCTATCTTATAAACCAATCAGAATAGAAATAGCTGATCTGTAACCCTATCCCCCAAGCTATATAAGGTGGGTAGGGACCCCCCTCGTTTGGATCGAATCATACGCAATACAAACTACAGAGTCACAGGACATAGGGTATTACGTCGAGTTGACGGCCTGAACCTGTCTAAATCACTGTCTCTTGCGTTCTGTGTCACCATTCACTTCCCTCACGCGCACCTCCACCGATTCATCTACTATCGTGGGTATACTCTTTAGTAGATTGTCGACCATGTTTCGTCGACAATACACCATCTGGTGGAATCCAATTTTGATTCCATGCATTAGTCTGTTCTCCGGTTCCAATCCATTTGATTAACCCCTGCTTGGGTACGTCCTTCCCTCAATGATAGCTCGCCAAATATTTGAAGGGCACGCTCCCAACTGAGCATTTAAAAATTTTCCATCAGGAAAATGTACAGACCCTCGGCACCCTCGCACTTAGCAGGTTCCTTTAGCATGTGCCAAGCCTGTCGAGCTAACATAGCCAAATTGAAAAGTTCAATATCTCTGAACACCTTCCAAGTATTTTGGCTTCCAAGAGACCCAACAAAGTTTACGCTTGTCTGCCTTGCTACCCCACCAAAAATTACGTAGCAAACCATTGATGTGATGATAAAGGCCTCGCGGCAAGAGAAAACATGTCATAGGGTATGTTGGCACTGCTTGGGCTACCGACTTAATTAGAACCTCCTTCCCAGCAACCGAAAGTGTTTGCTCCATCAAGTCCCGCACACGCTTCCATACTCGATCCTTCGAATATTTGAAAGCTCTGTTAATTGAACGTCCAACATCTGACTGCGTACCCAGATATTTTTCACTGAGAGATTTATTGTTGACGTTCAACATATGCCTTTTAGTAAAAAAAAAAAGGAACCCGTGAATTTGTTTGAAAATGGGCTACCTGGGCCGCAATTTCATTCTGAACAGGATTTGTACCAGCCTGGACGACCACGGACCACGAGGTCTCCACGACCACGTTGCCCTTCTCTTCCCCACTCGCCGCCGCGCACCTTGGATCGATCGTTCGTTCGTTCGAGGAGTATAAAACACTAAAATGGCGATGGCGGCGGCCAGGAGAGCGCTCCTGGCCCACCTCCGCGTGCCGGCGGTCCACCCTGCGGCGGCGGCAGGGACCATCCTCGCGGCACGGAGGCTCCTGTCGTCGACGACGGAGGGGACGAAGGGGTCGTTCCTCGACAAGGGCGAGGTCGCCGACCGCGTCCTCTCCGTCGTGAAGAACTTCCAGAAGGTTGAACCCTCAAAGGTGAGCGTGATCTATCTCTTCTCGGCGGATGCTTCTACGGCTGCCCGTACGTTTTGTTCGGTTCGCGGATCCGGATCTGTGCTGGATGGTTTAGGGTTTTGAGCGTGCGTGTCCTAATGTTGGTTTCGTGTTATGGTGTGATTTAGGCTCTCCACGAATAGCTGGGCATAGATGTGTATGTGATTGTAAAGCGTTAGTTCAGGAATCCAATGATCTACTTATGAGTTTGTTTTTGAGTTAGTGGTGGAAGCCTTATGGAGAAGAATGGTGATGGAATCCTTGTTTACAAGGGGTATAGGACAGCACGAGTTCCTACTTATGATTCAATGTTATAGTTGTCAATGTTTGATTCAGAAAAAAAATGAAATTTTCAATGTTATAGTTGTCAATGTTTGATTCAGAAACAATGAAATTTCTTTGCTACTGGTTAATTTGGTACTCAGTGACATTGGATAGTGCACGAAGTTTGCATCAATATATGGGCTACTTAATTTTCATGATATTGGCCCTGTTTGGAACCTTTTACATAGAAAAGCAAGCTTTAGGCCAGCTGCCCACACAAGCTGCTTATCAAAGAAGTCCAAGTAGATGTTTGGCAGCCTGGCTTGTCTACAGCTTTTCTTAGACACTGACACAGGAGACACATATGGCAGTGCCAGTAACTGATTTCTCATGAGCACTCGGTGGCAAGGAGGTGCTCGGTGATGGGAAGGCAGGCGGCAAGGAGGTCCATGGTGGCATACATGCCAGAGGGGAGATACTCACTGGTGTGGGCATGAGAGGGGAAGGAGAGCCACCAGGATGTGGATCTTTAGAGGGGATTTGGCCAGCCTAGTCAATCTTGAAGGGGATCTCAACCGGCGGAAGGAGCATGGTGGAGGCCGGCGAAGTACGCGAAGGTAGATCAGCAGAGGATTGTGATGAGCTCGGCGAAGGGCGACGAGGAAGGCGGAGGTTAGTGCACAGGGGAGGCCTAGAGGTCTGCCGCTGACTGGCCTGAGGTGGAAGGGAAGCCGCATCATGTCGCTTGGAGGAACTGGAGGGCTGCTGGTCTCTGGACCGAGGCAAAAGGAGGAGACAGGAGCGGCTCGGTAAGCGAGCATGGGGGCGGAGGGTACGCAGGCGAAGGTCTGTGACCGGCCTGAGGTGGAAGGGAAGCCACATTTCGTCGCTTGGAGGAGCTGGAGGGATGCTGCTCCCTGGACCAAGGCGAAAGGAGGAGACAGGAGCGGCGCAGTAAGCGAGCAGAGAGGGCCATTGTGGAGAAGTGGAACCAGAGAGGGCCATTGCAACCTTAAGCCTCTTCGTTGTACTAGCTGGCAAGCTAGTTGGTTTCTCCATCTTGTTGAGATGCCATGTCTTGTCTGCTACCTTGTGAGTTGTGTCTGGCTTTTTTTCCTAGTTCAGTTTGAAATATATGGCTACCTTCTTTAGCTTTGCTGTCCTATTTTATTTTCAAGAACTCGCAGCTTGTGAACATATTATCACTGTGGCCGAATATCTCACAATTGTGAAACGGTTAAGTGGGGATTCAAAGTTTGAAACAATGAAATCCGCACTTAGATTTCTGCTAAAGCTTTTGTCTTCCCTATAGGAACTTGAGTTTCTTATTAATAATGCTTGGGTAATTTTAATTGCATAATCACCAAGTGTGTAGTGTAATAATTCTCACTTCCTCCGATCACAACATAACTATATGTCTAATAAATCTCCAGTGTTTTTATCTTTGCCTGCAAATATATATATTAGTGTTAAATAGAAAGAGTTATATGTTGTAAAAGTGTTTTACATGATAACTATAGTGATGTCTTTTCTTTCATTGTTTTAGCATTACATCCAACTTTGTTGTAGTGTCTGACTGTCTGTCCTGCATGTTGTAGTGGACCATTTGATGGGAACATCCTGATAGATGTACAAGTGCTAGTATGGCCTGATATAACTGACCATTTACAATCAAATTGAGGGCGAAAACTTGTCAATATGTTTTGTTTGTATCTTTTTCTTTAATATTTTACCCTTTATTCTTGTTAGACATTGTCTTGGAGTACCCCTTAGAAAAAACAAATAAACAAATAGTAGTATCTGATAGGAGTACATTTAGACAAAACCCCTAGAATTTATTCCTAGTTTTGCACAAATGCAGCTACTTGTTGGTTATAAAAGCTAAAAAGGCTTGACTTGGACAAACCCAGATGGACTTATATTTGTGATTGGAGGAAGCAGCTGTTTTTTATCAATGGAAAATCTATTCATGCTGTGTTTCATGAAATAAGTACCCTTCTTAATTCTTAAATAATGTTTCTCTGTGCTTTGTTGTTTAAGGTCAGTATAACAATTCTCTGGTTTATACTTAATGCCCGTCATATGCAACTAAGATATTTGCCAATCCTTCAATCTGTTGTCTTAGTACCTTGGACTCCTGGTTGTATTTCAAATTTAAACTATATGTCGTATCCTTGCTCTGATTCATTTCTGCATTGCTTCAGTAATCAAGTTCTCTAATCTGGGGCTTAACAAAATGGCCACTAGTGTTTGCATTACTTCTGTGTTCCATTGGCATCAGTGTGTGGCATGACTTCTCTAATTTGTATTGCAAACTAGGTCCAATATTAGATATTGAACTCCAGTGGTATAGAGAATATGTTCAGGGATTATAAATCCATAGCATTGAGCCGTCATCAGTAACCAGTTCTTGTTTCTCCATCAAATCGCAGGTGACACCTACTGCCCATTTCCAGAAGGACCTTGGACTCGATAGCTTGGACACTGTCGAGGTCGTGATGGCGTTTGAGGAAGAATTTTCCTTCGAGATCCCTGACAATGAAGCAGAGAAGATTGACTCCATCAAGACAGCGGTTGACTTCATCGCTTCGCATCCTCAAGCAAAATAAGAGGATTTCTTTTTTTTTCGTATTGCAACGTGCGTTTGCATCCAGAACTTGTATGCGACATGGTACCAGTTTTCTGTAGCTTGCCCCAGTAGATAGGAAGTCGTTTCTTTATCTTTCTGAATCTGTTGAAATAAAACGTGTACCAAACGATTTTTGTGCTCTTGTGACCCATGTGATGTGTGTGTCAACTGTGGAACACCTTCATGACATTGTACACACGGTGCATGGAAACCCTCATTAGTAAACTAATCCACAGATCCATTTGGGCTTTCTTTCTGCTTAAATTGTTTAATGTGTAAATTTGAAAGGGTGAAGTATATTTTTCAATCTCCAAGTTGCACATCAGTTCATTTTTGGGTAAAGGACGGTATCGTCTTACTGTTGAAACTGTACTGTCGACCCTGAACTGTTGAAAGTAGACAAATTTAATCATTTGGCTGGTTTGTATGGTCGTCTTCTATATTTTCTAATAAGAACAATAAAAATCTGGTTTCATCTCTAAAAATTTATCATTGATCTATTTTAAATTAACAAATTTAAAACTAGTACCATTTTTTTCCTAAAAATCTTATCTAGCTACCTATTTATTTAGAATTGGCTTATTCCACAAAATAAGATCCAGATAACTCTATTTTTTTCTAATTTAAAACAGATTAATTATGTCACAGAACTCTCAAACTGCGGCTATCGAAACTAATGTCCAGAATTCCAGATCCAGTGCAATACACGAGAGTATATACTACATTCGGTGTCCCAAGCCACGCACAAGGTCCGACGCAGCGTACGTACATACCGCCGATGACGACCACAGTGTGCTCACGGGAGCGGGAGCAAGATGCCTCGCGAGTCCCAACTCCACTCGACCCCTGCGTCGCGTGCAGGGAGGGCAGATTGCACGTCGCTGCGGCCAGCAGCCGGCCGGCCGATGGGCGATGGATCGAGTGGCTATGCGGCGCGTGGTGGTCGAGTGACGACGGTCCCTGGCTGTGGCTCCCTGCCCTGTTCGCTGCTTGCGTGTTGCGTGCCTGACGCCTGAGCGGCTGAGCCTCTTCGCTTTGCCTGCCTCCGCTGCGTGTCACGTGCGAATGCGAACGCGAATGCGATGCGACAGGTAGCCTTCGATCCTTCAACTTTGCAAGCGTGCGCGAAGACGGCATGGCGTCTGGGTTGCTCACATGGCCGGACATGGACGCATGCATGCTCGTCGGGTTGCTCACATGGCCGGACACGGACCCCATCACCCATGATTTTTTTTTTTTTTTGTTCGTCACCCGTGCCGTGATGTGCCAAAAGCTCGATCGGGCTATCCTAACCGCCGTTCGCATCTGCCAGGCCGCCAGCTGCCCACCACATACCCCTGGACCCCAGCTGGGCTGGATGGTCGGCGGGGCGGGGCGCGCCCAGCCGCCGCCAGAAAGCTACCAAAACTGCAAGCATGCATTGTCCCGATCCAGCTGCTGCTTCGGCCTCCAGTCCCCTGGCCTGCAGGTTGAATAGCATGCGGCTGGCTGATGTTCACTCACAAGGCAAACAGGGGTTGAAGGGCAAAGAGCTAGTAGCTAAGGTACTACACATATATAGCTACACACACACGGTAGCTAGCTTTAATTGTTGAATCGAAAGTGGTACTAGTTCAGGAGCTATAGCTTTGAAGGTTCACCACCTATCTGCACTCTTTACTCTCTCCTTCACTTCTTCCATTATTCCATCTTGTTCGAGGTTCAGGCTTCAGAGTGCGGCGAGAACTAGCATCAGCTATGAAGAGGAGGAAGAGCCCACGGTCGCTGCTGCTCTGCTGCGCGGCGATTGTGGTGGTCGCGCTTCTCTCCCAACAAGGAGGCCAGGTCGATCTGTCCCTCTCTCATATATTGGCACAGCAGATCGAGCACATTTCTTGGTCTGATCAACCAATAGTACTAATTCACAGTTGATCTTGCTCATGCCGTGAGTTTCTTTTGCCGTACGTTAATTCAGGCAGCTTATTACGTGCCGTCGCCGGGGCCAGCTCTGGCACCGGCCGGCTCCTCCGCGATGAACTCCTCCACTGCTCCTCCGCCAGCCAAGCCCAACGCGTTCCCACTCCCAATGGTGAGTACCACACCAACACGTACTGTCCGGTGGTGGCGACAGCCGATACGATCGATGACAGTACCTTGACACTTGACTGGTGATGGAAAATGGCTCTGATTTTTACCTTGGTTTGATGATGTTCAATTATTTGCAGTACGGTGTCACCCCTGGCAGCCTCCAGCCCCAAGGTCCGTGTGTGTGTGTGCGCGCGCACACACGACGAGTAACACCTCTCTGAATCGCACGTCGTCGACGAATACTATAGAGTAATACGTAATACTGAAGATGTTGCTGTGCTGCGTGCGTGCGTGTTTTGCAACAGAGTGCGGCGGCCGGTGCGCGGCGCGGTGCTCGGGGACGGCGTACCGGAAGCCGTGCCTCTTCTTCTGCCGGAAGTGCTGCGCGGCGTGCCTGTGCGTGCCGGCGGGCACCTACGGCAACAAGAACACCTGCCCCTGCTACAACAACTGGAAGACCAAGAGGGGAGGCCCCAAGTGCCCCTAGCTAGGCCTCCGTACGTGGATCGACTGGAGAATTGAGACCCATATTTTTTTCATTTTCATTTTATTTCATTATTAGGGAGAGAATAAAAAAAAAAGACAAACGAATCACGTTACCATGTACTGCTCCTTCTCGATCGTCTGCTGCGTCGGGACTGCGCGTCTCACGCCGTGTACCATCCTTGTATATGCACACGTTTGCTCATCGGTAGGCGGTAGCAGAATGCCCGGCAGTTTGGCCATGGAAAAAAAATGAAGCCGGCTTGGAACGCGGAGATAATTTCTGAATTCCATATAAAATTTACAAGATATCTTTGAAGACCAGTCTGGCCTTCTCGGTCGCGTTTCAAAGACGGTGCAACGAAGGAAATTAAACGACAACCGAGGGGGTTCTTTTCACTTATTATATCCACCCTGTAGATTTTTTTTATTAACACGTCTTTTTTCACGTGCCTGGTTTTTTAGGTTGCTTATTAGACAAATTTAATTTTTTTATTGTTTGACTATAGAAAAACCTATGAATTCACTTTTGTGAGTTGTCCTTTTAATTACGTTGTCTAAAATTGTTGCCTAAAAATCCAAACGCACCTAAAATATAACAATTCTCTTTGTCGGTGTTTTTTACCGGTAGATATTCAGTTCTCGGAGGAACTCGCCTGGTGCAAAGAGCAAGCACAGTCGGGACACAAGATTTATCCTGGTTCGGGACCCCGGGAAGTGAGTAACAGCCCTACGTCCAGCAGCTACTTGTTTATATTGCGATCTCGTCGAGATGGCGAGATGACAGGTTACAAAGGGCTATGCCTATGAGAGTTTTGATGATTACAACAGGGCGGTTAGCTAGCTATTTATATCCAAGGCCTACTTGCCCTACAAGTTAAATAGTCGTGCCGTAGTCGGAGTCTTTGCGTGATCTTCAGATGTCTTTCCGTGAATAGGCGAGTCGTGAACCTTCGGGCCTGCTTTGGTACAGATTCGGTAGCCAGCATATCCGGTAGTCAGGAATCATGGGAGTATGGCACCGTCAGTAGCCCCTGAGCTTATCGGTCAAGTGAGACTCGGTATCCTTCCGGTACTCGGGGCTTTTAGGGTGTTCGGAATCGGGACTTTATTTCAAAGCCCGAGGTTATACCCATGGAAACAAGGCTGGTCAGGTAGAGGTTACAGGGTCGCATAGTTGAGCGATGAGCTATAAAAATAAAATAAACTCTAGAGTCGTCTCGTCTTGTCAACCCAGTCTCCGTGCGAGTCGAGCGACGGTTGTCACGCACTCGAGTGGCCACGCTGGCTCGACTTCCGAGGATTACGCGTGGCTTGTGATTAATGCGTCGCTTCGGTTCGTGGGTGACGATTGGCTTGCCTTTCCCAATCACCCCGGCCCTGGCTTTATGAGCGGGCGTCTGAGTGCTTGGTTAGATCCACTTAGCGCCTCCATGTTTGCAATCATGAGGACAAAAATCGTTGGCCGCCACCGTAAGATCCCTCGCTTGCTGTTCGGGGGCTCTCCTGGGCAGTCTGTTGGGGCCTCGCCCCTATCGTCCCCTTTGGCGTCATCGTCTCCAACTTTGGTGTCGTCTACTGCTCCTGCTCCGATACTATCTTCGGCCTTGGCGCTCTCTCGTTGGGAGGCCATGGTTGTGAAGAAGGAGGAACAAGAGGGCGTGGCGAGCGCCGCGGGGATCGTCACCCTGGCCCCAGAGGGGCCTGAGTCAAGAGTTCTGCCGAAGGGAGTGATTGAGCTCTCTGACGATGAGTCGGAGGGTTTGGTTGCTTCCTTTGTTGCCACCGCCAGCACCGGTCCCTTTGATACCGGCCCATCTACTCCTTGGGTCACCGCCGTTCCCGATACAAGCGGTGACTGGGAGTTTGCTCGACGGCTCTCTGTTGAGCTAAACTGGGAAGAGATCCCTGGCGACAGGGAACTTGCCCAGAAACTCTTTGTTGAGCTGAACCGGGAAGCCCTCGGGGTCCCCGGTGATGGGCCCTGGTGGATCTGGTTAGCGACGATGAAGACGTCGTGGCAGCGGGTGCCGGCAAGGTGGAGAAGGAAGTTGCTTCAGGCGACAAGGAAGAGGACGGCTCCACGACGCATGCCAGGCTGCGGGAGCAAGCTGCCGTGCCTCCTAGTCCTCCACCAAGCGCCTGAGCTTGGTGACGGTTACCTTGATCGGGCCATACTGTCCCTGTACCGCAAAGAACTCATCGTCCTTGCAGATCGGGATTTGTTATGGCCCAACTTGGTGATCGGTCTAAGAGTAGTCAATTAGGGAGTTTAGGATACCTCTTTTGTAAATCCGCGTTTCAGCGAAGTTTGTCAATAAAGAAAAAAAAATCTTTTATCAGTCTAGTTTTGCATTTTAATGCTTGCACATTGTCTGCATAGTAATAGGCTGATAATGACTTATGTCTTTGGATTATTAATGGTTTTAATGAGTTGATCTGTTCGTCCCAAGCTGATCGGGTTTAGCAAATTCTCGTTTATTAACCGAAGATGTCACTATTTTTCCCTTCACACATAGGCCGTGGGTTTGCATAGTTCCCAATATTTATGTGGACTCAGGCATTCTATCTTTGCATGATCCACAAAAATTTATACTAGTGAATATGTATATGGTAGCCTCCGACTCTTTATCTGGATTGGAATTCATTTGAAGAGTAAAGACTTAGTGGGTAAATTTTGGCAGCTTTGTTGCTTTTTATGTGAATATTCGAACGAAATTCTAGATGAAGGGTAATGATTTGCTTGAATATCTGTCGAACAAACAACCAAGGTAGCCCCCAGAGCCTTTGGTTGAATTTACAACGGGCTCATACGACGCTACCGGTAGGCTCCAGCCCTCGAGCATGCGAATTACAAAGGGGCAAGATATTAAACCGTACATGTAGAAGAAAATTTGACTGAACATGGCAAAACTGAAGCACAACTAATCTAAGCGTAGAAATGCCGTAGTTGATCCATATTCCACGTATTGGGGAGTATGTCGCCGTCGATTTCAGCCAATCTGTAAGCCCTCGGGCGAGCTATCTCGACTACGATGTACAGTCCCTGCCAAGGAGAAGATAGTTTGGTTTTGTCCTTTGTAGGTTGGTCCTTTTTTAGTACTAAATCCCCGATGTTTAGAGCTCGACTGCGCATACGGCAGTTGTGATATTTCCGAAGGGATTTGTCGGGTTCATAAACCCGGGGTCCCTCGGGGACTGGCTTCGACGCCCGGGCTCGGCCCAGGAGAACAGCCTGTAGCTCATGGGCCGGCCCAAAAAGTCTAAAAAACAACGGGCCAGAGGGACGGACCGGTAACCGACCGGAAGGTCCACCGAAAGAATGAACGCCCGCTCGACAACTTCTTCGGCCCACCTCTCCGACCGGAGCGCTCGCCTCGGGCGCCGGCCGCCTCCGGGCGGACTCTCCGATCGGAAGGCCTGGCCCAAAACGCTGCTTCCTACTCCGACCCCGCATCTCCGACCGGAGACTCGTAGGAAGCATGCTTACCGCTCTTCTCCGACTGGCACGGCCAGTACCGACTGGAGCCATCCGACCGGGGATTCCCGCTCGGAAGGGACAAGGGGCGAACGGAGAAAACAACGCACAAAGTCAGAACACGGTACCAGGACCATACCCTGTACGCCTGCGGGAACAGTGCTCCACAACCGACCTGACACAAACAGTATGGGAGGTACCGACATTTGTGACTACAGTATTGTAGGCGCCGACATTTATGTCTACAATATTGTAGGCGTCGTTGGGGCTCCCGTACGGCAAAAAGGCCCCCCACATGCCTCTGGGAATCGATAGTGGGCACCAGGATTCACCATGCCTGGTACACATGGTGGGGCTCCTCATATACTAACAGCATTTCGCAGGTACCGACGTCCACCCTTCCTGAAGAAGCCAACGCAACCCCCATGTGCACCTGACTTTCTACAGCGACATCAACAGTGTTGTGCGTGCCAACCATCATCACTACCCTCATTCGGCGTGGGCAACAAGACTTAGAAACATCCGTACCCTCTCCCTCTCACCTGTAAAGCCATCCCCTTTATTTATAAAAGGGGATGCGCTCCCTCCAACAAAGGGGATTGATTTCCCAGAGGTCCACTTCTTCAAGCTCAGGCTCACTAGATCGATAGCTCAGAAACCCCTCAAGCACACGCTTGAACACCTAGCTCATAGCGGAGTCCTGGTCGCCCTCGGCCCTTCCGGTCGGACCCGACCGAGCCTCTCGTACACCCCTCCTTTCTCCTTCTCGTTTGTAACCCCACTACAGACTTCGAGCACCTGGGCTTAGGAATAAAGTCACCAACAGACCCACACTGGACGTAGGGCACGTTGCCTAAACCAGTCTAAATCATGTGTCATTGAGTGCTAGGCCACCTCCGATCACAACGTACAGCAAAACTACAAATATTCACTAGTTGGTCACTTTCTGTACCGACAGTTGGCGCCGTCTGTGGAGAAGACGATGTACGTTCAACACTTTTTGGTCATCGGATGGCCCATTTTTCTGCCACCCCCACTGCGGGGGGCTCGGGCGACGCAATTCGCCTCGGCTCACTAGAGTATCCTGCACTCTCGCCTACGATCATGTGGGTTCCACTTGTATTTGAGCCATCCTAGGCCTTTCTCTTCGGAAGCCTGGGCTTCGTCGTCGACCGGCTCGACGTACTCCACCTCCGCGAGGAGACTCGCGACCCGACACCCGTCGGAGAGACGTTCTCCATCGACTCCAGGACACGCGACCTCAACGGCGCGGCATCTGCGCTTCATTTCGAGCAAACTCCCTGCTCAAACCCCACTGTAAGTAATATGCGTACCTTTATTTGCCCTTTATTTACTACCTCCCACCAATCGTCCGGAGGGACCGCACCACCCACGCCACGAACACCGTACGTTCGGTTCCCCTACGGCCTCACGTCCCCCGTGGACGCTTACGCTCGGGGGTTCCGAAGAACGCTGGCGCCATCCCCCCTCACAAACGAATTCATAGGAATGGTAGGCTTCGCTCC